TATTTCTATTTTACTTGTGTTAGATATTATATCTAACACAATATAAATCTATATAAATAGTTGTAATTCTGTATTATTTAGGGAATAATGGCAAGGAAATTGCTGTATATTGTCAGTATAGGCATGGTTTTTTTTCAAATGTTTTCTGACCATGGTTGGTTGGGTCCTTGGAAGCAGAACCCTTGGATATGGAACAGCAGATGCAGAAAGTTCACTGTATGTGCAAATACTCCTTCCCTAGAAAGGTAGGTGTCCTTTGAGCCTTTCTTCAGTCCTTGGTGCGTGTTTATGGAGTTCCTATCACATCATCATACTCTGTGCAGGAAGGCATCTTTTCTCATTGCAGCAGGACTTAGGTTGCAGCTTGGTGGCTCCAGGTTGTCCTGCTGAGCACATGGGGGGAAGGGCAATGGCCTCAGGCAGGCCATCCAGGGCTAGGCTGGTGTTAGGGCAGAGGTATAGATCCTGTAGAACACTGGAGAGATCATGATAAGAATTGAGAGTCCCCTCCCCACGGCCACCAAGACTGTTGAAGTCGGCTTTCCACCCACCTGGCTCAGTCAGGCCCAGGGAACAGGCTGTGCTCTGCAGTGGAGATCTGTAATTTCCCAAGGCCTGGCCATCTCTTATGTGTCATGCTGCCCCTTCCCACTTTCACACATTTGATGATGTGTGGCTCTGACTTCTCCAGGATTCTTACCTCCTTAATACACATGTAGGTCACATTCCACTCTATAGCTACTTTGCTGTCCTATGATATTGTAGCAAAGGAAGTAGAAGAAAGAGATTGAGCTAGTGCATCAAAGGGGATTCTGGAATATAGTTCACAACGAGACATGAGCCTTCCAAAGGAGGCCTGAATTTGGTTTGTCTAGTTTGCTGATGTCCAGTTGGATGGTTTTACCTACTCTCTCTAAGTCCCTCTGGCATGTTTTTGTGGTAGAAATAAGTATACTTTTAGTAGAATACCTCTCCTTCATCCCAGCCCCTCAATAACTAGTCCTCATTCATCAAAAGTAAACCCACCATTAGTATATGCCAGGAAGCATATGGGGCACTTAGGGAAAAATACCGAGCAAGAAGGCATGGCTCCTGGCTCACAGTCATTCTACCTGGGGAAGTCTGAGATGGAAAAGGAAAGATACAATTAAAATAGGCATAATAAGTTCTGCAGTGGAGGAGAAAGCTATGGGACATTGGCATTTAACAAGTATATATTTGGTGCCTACCACAGACCAGGTAAGACTTAGAAAATGTTGCAATGACAAAAATGTCTTTACATGCAAATGAGGGAAAATTCAAAATAGTCCTGGAGTCAGGGAAGGCTTTCCTGAAGAAGAGATGTCTAAGCTGTGTTTTAAGATTGAATAGAAATTAACCCAAGGGTTCGGGGGATGGACGGGGTGGAAACAGGAGCTGTAAATGGTCCAGTATGGCTGAAGGATTTCAGATACAGGAGGTAAGTGAAGTGGTAGGCCATGAGGAATTTGCACTTGAAAATGAAGGAAATGGACAGCAATAGATTTTAAATAAGAGAGGAAATCCACCCTGCCTCTGTGGACAGGATAGAGTGGAACAGGCCAAGACAGTAGGAAGGGCCTGTGTTAGCAGGCTGTGAGGGCAGTCCAGGTGGGGGAGAGCTCAGGCCTGGATAGGACAGTGGCTGAGAATATTTGGAATGTGGAGCTGAAAAGACTTGGTAACGGACGGGTGGCAGTGGGGCACAGGAGCTGGTGATGGATGGGATCAAGAGAGAGTAGAGAGCCTGCACAGCTGAGCAGGCCGTGGCACTGTTGGAGCCATCCTGCCTCATTCTGTCATCAAGAGGGTGGGAAGAAGGAACCAGAGTTGCTCCAGGAAAGTCCAGTCAGTTCCACACACACAAGGGTGACTTAACCTGGCTCCTGTTTGAAATGCCTATTTTTTTAAAACTCTCCTAACAGAGAGAAACTTCAGGCAGACAGATTATGATCTTTGTTGGCTGCTGACTCCATGTCCCAATCAGAAAAGGGAATTACATGGTCTGATGGGAAGGACAATATGGTCTGGGAGAAAGTGTCCTCCAGACGGGGAGTCAGGAGACCTGATTCTGATGACAGCACCAGCCTCTTCCCGGAGCACGCCCTTCAGCAAGTCCTCTAGACTCTCTGAGGTGAGCTTCCTCACATTTACAAAGTGATGGAGGACTTTCACACCTTCTAGCCCCTGCAGTGGGAATTAGAGTTGTTCACAGAGACGGAGAGTGTGGTGTAAAGATGGCAGCCACATAGATTCAGCCACATCTGGGTTTGAATCTTGGCTGTCACTGGTAGCTACATGGGCCACCCTGAGCAGTTCTATAGCTTCCCTGGAGCCTCAGGTTCCAAATCTGTAACAGGAAGACATAAAATTCACTGAGCTATAATGAGGTTACATAACCTATATGACTGTGTTCTCTAAATATTAAGTGACTATTGGTCAAGACACTTAAGGCTTCTGTAAATGGAATGAGGTCCAGTGTTGATGTTAAAGAAGGTGGATTGTGTTGACAGGATTTATGGGGCAAAGGGCCTTGGTGAGGTCACCACAAGATGCCAGCTGGTTCACACACTGGGGAGATGTGGCCTTGCTGTCA